CACAGGAAATTCTGTTCTCGGAAATGGAGCACAGGCCTCAGGAGGCAACTCCCACCAGCTCAGTCTAGCCCTGGACCCCCCACCAGGAGGCGGCCGCCAGCCTGGAGAGACAGCTCCGGGTGGGACTGGGACGGGTATGCTCCAGAACTGTCAACAGGCAGCCGCCTCCCAGCGGGATGAGGGAAACTTAGGCAGGGTGTGAACGTTCTAGGCCCCTGCCACCATGACCTTGGCAGTTACTTGACCTCTCCTGCCCTCGCCAGGTCACAAAGTTCAGGGTCACCTGGCAGCAGGGAGAGGGAGGGAGGAAGAGACACAGGAAAGGAAAGAGGGTGGACTCTGAGGAGGGGTGGAGCTGAGGAAAGCCGGTGCTTAAAACAAAGCAGCAGCAGCTCAAGTGACCTGGGGGGGGGGCTAGGCTGGCTCCACACCTGCTCTGCACCAGGCCCTGTAGCTTCCTAGGGTCCCCGGGCCCCTGCACCCCGCCCCACCTCTCATCCTCTCCCTGTGGGCCCAGCTCACTCCTGGTGCTTCCTATGCACACAGCAGGGGCTCAGCAGCACTCGGGCGACTGAGTCTGCATGTGACTCCGAGCTCCCCTTGCTCCCCGCGTGGCGGGAGAACGGACGCCGGGCTGGAGTGACCTGGTCTGGGCCTGCTGGCTCAGTTGGTTTTTCATTCCTGTTTCTAAAACAAACCAAAAAAACCACCCTACCAATAGCAGCCAGAACCTTCCACCTCGGGGGACTACAGGGCATTCACGGAGGAAACCCCCAGCAGGAAGGGCAAGGATGATCACTTCTCCCTCCCCTGAAGAGCTACACTTGCTCGTAAGAAAAAAAAAGTTGCATAAAAAAGACAGAAACGTATTGAGAGCGTGTGTTTTTAAGGAACCAAACTGCACCACACGGAGCTAACATCCACCTTCTGGGCACCCCCCACCCCGCACACGTGTTGAGTGAGGTTACACGTGTGTCACTCAAACTGCAGGGCCCCTCTCTCCCCCCTGCTGGGGGGTGGAGCTGGCAGGAAGTTCCTCCCCCATGTCCCTGTAATCACTGCCCCCTCCTAGGAGTCCCAGCCTTGACCCTTGGGCACTCAGTGGTCTCTGCTCACCCCATCCCCCAGCTGGCTTCTCCCTAATTATGTAACACCCTGGGGGCGATCTCCCTCCATCCATCCCTGCTCCAGATGGAGGCCCAGGGCTGCGCCCAGGAGACTGACAGCTCGGGAAGCAAGGGTTTTCATCTGCTGCTGTGCCCCGGTGACAGGGCTGTGTGATGCAGAAACTGCGGCAGGAGTCTGGGACAAGGAAAGAGGCAGCGTCTTCCTGCCCTTCCCACCTCAGTGCAGGCCTGGGAGGGTCCGGGCAGCGGTATCACACCGACGGCTCACGAAGGTGAGTGCCCGCGAAGCGGCTCAGAAAGGAGAACCACGGAAGAAGGCAAACACCAGAACACAAGTCAACTCGGCAGCCTTGCGCTGGCTGCGGAGGGCAGGGGGTGCTACGGTGTAAATACTGCCAAGGGAAGGCCAAGCCAGAGAGCAGACCCCGGGTGCGAGGCCCCGAGGAGAGCCCTCTTGAGGGCTCTGGCAAGAGGCTGTAGCTGAGCGGCTTCCCCTGGCCCACAGGGGAGACCGCCACCCGGGGCCTGAGCCCCCTACTCCCGGGTGGGAAGTCTACAGGTGAGTGGCAGCAGCACACTGGCCATTTGGCCAGGCCTGCTGGTCAACCACAGCCACCAGCACCCTCACAGGCCCACCCAGAGGCTCTGGAGGCAGCGGCCATGGTGCTGGGCGTGGCGGTCAGGACCGGGGACTATGCTTGAGAGAGCAGACCCTCTGACACCAGAGACCCTGGGGGCTGGGAAGGCATGCTAGAGGCAACCGGTCGGCCCTGACTGGCCTATGCCAGGGCTAGTGCCTGAGCCTGCCCATGCCATTGGTCCTCCAGGCCAGCGGCAGCCCACTTTCCCTGCCACGACAGTAACACAACTATGTTCAGTTCTGCAGGCCAGGCGGTCTCTGGAACAGCTACCCAAGTCCACTGCTGCAGGAAAATGCAAAGACATCTTGTCAATGAACGAGTATGGCCGTGTGCCAATAAAACTTTATTTATGAATAAGAACTCCGAGTTTCATTTTAAGTGACATGTTGCATGTTCTTCTTGGGATTTTTTTGCACAACTCTTTAAAAATATAAAAATCATTCTCAGGGGGCACCTGGGTGGCTCAGCGGGTTAAAGCCTCTGCCTTTGGCTCAGGTCATGATCTCAAGGTCGTGGAATCGAGTCCCGTATCGGACTCTCTGCTCAGCAGGGAGCCTGCTTCTCCCCCTCTCTCTCTGCCTGCCTCTCCGCCTGCTTGTGATCTCTGCCTGTCAAATAAATAAATAAAATCTTTATAAAAAAAAATCATTCTCAGATGGTGGACCACACGAAGACAGCCTGTCAAACGTGGCCTGTGGGCCCCTGTTTGCTGACCCTGCTCTAGAAGGACAAACAACACCTGGAACCCAGAGGCCGGCCAAGTGCAAGAATTTGGCAACAATGGGCCAGCCCAGAGGGAGTGTGACCGGAAAAGGGACAAGGGGCACAGTGAGGGGTGGGGGGTCTTCCTGAGAGCCTGAAGACGGTGAAGAACCAAGCTGAAAGGCTCTAAGATCTGGAAAGTGGTTGGGGCGCCTGGTGGCTCAGTCGGTTATGCATCTGCATTCGGCTCAGGTCATGATCCTGGGGTCCTGGGATTGAGTCCCATGTTGGGCGCCTGCTTCACTCTCTGACCCTCCCCCATGCTGGTACTCTCTCAAATAAACAAATGTAAAAAATAAATTAAAAAACCTGGAAAGCAGAAACACTCTCCCTGGGTCCTGAGGAAGGTGCGCGGAGGAAGAAGCCCCAGCACAGATAGGGGTGGGCAGCAGAGGCCGGTGGAGAGAAGCCCTTGCTCAGGTAAAGCATCCTGGGATCCTCTCCAACCCCAATGGCCATTCCCTAACACACAGCCAAGGACCCCACAGGTCCCTGAGAATTACCCGACCTCAACCATCTCCCTGCCCCTCCCAGGGCCTGCCTCTGACACGCCTCAGCTGTCATACGCGAGGTCAGGCACCTTCACTGCATCTCCAGCCTGGACGGCTTATGAGGCAGCAGTGCTAGCGAGAGGCAGAGATCGTCGCCCCGTCCCACCACCGAAAAGCCTGCAGGCTGCCCTCTAGGACTGCACGGACGGATGCCCCATGGCCAATGGTCACTCCCGCTGAACCCCGTGCCTTCCTCCTCCGGGGGTCGGGGCGGCTGGGGTGGCTCTTCAAGGTAGCCCGGCACGGGGCCTGGCCACAGGCCCAGACCCGGCTGGCGCGGAGCACTGCATGCCACTCGCGCAGTAATTTCACGCTACGCCGCCCGGCGATGTAAGCACGGAGGCCCAATCTAAGGCAGCACTTCCCAAATGTCACTTGTTTGTGAACACATGGCTGAACCCCAAATTGCTTTTACTATCTGGGCAGTCCCTGCCGGCCCCAGTGCAGTTCCGGCGCCGATGGCACCTCCAGGACAAGCCTGCGATCCTGTCCAGAGCTTACGACTCAATCACAGCTCCCACCACGGCCGGGGCCCGAGGCGCGCACCCGGGCCCCGTGGAATTCTCTGTGCGCTGTCTCACAGTCCCCAGTGCCCCCACGGTCCCGTGAACAAAACCACACACTCTGGGACAGCCCATCGTTCCTTTAGGTCCAAAGAAAAAGTTCTGGTGTCCCGCCCCTTCTCTTTCAGCGGAGCCTGGCGTCTCTGCCGAAGACGGCCCCCCAGAGAAGAACCCCAGCACTCCCACCCCCGAGTGCCTCTCCAGTCTCTGCCGGGCAAAGCCCTGTTCCTGTTCTGCACTGTGCTGGCACAGTGAAGCTGGAGAACTGGGTAGTTAGAAACGTAAGAGGTGAGCCCCTTCGTCCAGACCCGCGCTGCCCACCAGCGGCAGGACGCAAGCCAGCCGCGTGAGTTTCAGTCCAGTCTCCACGCTCGAAATGTGAAAACAAACAGGAGATGCTCACTTTAATGACACATTTGGTTTAACCCGAACTATGCAAACACACTGGCTACATAACCCGCATGAACCACTTATCTGTGGCGATATTTCATGTCCCTGGTGACGCACTGAGCCTCGGACGTGGCGTGTGTTACACCCACAGCTCAAGGCCACGACCCCACATGTGGCCAGCAGCCTCCGTGCTGATCCCCATGGGGGTCACCGCTGCTGGGTCTTGCAAGAAACCCTCCGACTGCCCTGGTCCTGTGCACTGACTCGGAACTGACCAAGCGATTCCTCGGAGGAACCCCCAGGCCCCAACTTGGGAGGCTGGCAGGAAGCACCCCGTTTTCACATCACGCTGGCCTGGCTGGAGGGAGTACTCCTGTTCCACGCGCCCCAGCACCAGGGAGACACCCGTAACTGGACCTATCTGCAGTAGAGAGAGGCCGATGGGCTGAAACCCTGGGCCAAAGCCTGAGCCAGTCTGACGGGAGGAGCGCGTCACCCTCTGGGAAGGCTGTGACAGGGGCCCAGGGCTGCAGTGGCAGTCCTGGGAGGAAGGCCCCTGGTGCAAGCCTGTTCCCACCGACAGCCCCTTCTCGCTGCCTCAAAGTGAGGCCCCCTGAGAATAGGAACAACAAATTCCCAGGAAAAGAACCAGAGGAGTCCTCTTGTCCGCCAGCGATCTCCACGGACAAACCAGACACCAGGAAGCCCTCGGGCCCAGAGAGCAGGGTCTGGTGGGGAAGGTCAGTCCCCGGCCACAGGTCACAGGCTCCGTGCCTCCTCCCGGCTTGTTCCGGGTGAGAAACGTCCTGGGGATGAGTTCACTGAGGATCCCAGAATCAGACGCTGGTGGAGAGACCAGGCCCCCCGCCGAGTCTAAGCAGAGGCCTCCCGGGCCCGGGGCCGAGGGGCGGGCTGGCAGCGGCCGAGCCCCATAGGGACCCTTCCAGCGGTTCCGCCGGCACTCACCTGAGTGGCCACCTTGCCGTAATCAATCCACCGCAGAGTGGCAAAGTTGGTAGATTCTGCACAGTTGAAGCCGTGATTGAACCCGGCATGGTAGCCGTAGGGAAACGTGATCATGAACTCCCCAGCCTCCTGTGTGATCTGGGGAGGGAAAGGCCAACAGGTGAGCCCGGCCAGCAGGCGAGGGGCGAGGCCCAGAGTCCGGAGTGGAGGCTACCGCGCGGCTCCCCCACTGAGGTCAGAGAGGCCGGAGAAACAGTGCGTTAGCAGGACACAATGTCAAGGCGGGGAGCTCTGCCACGTGAGCTGATGGTTCCGGAGCTGTTCAAGCGGCCTGATTCAGCCTCTGAGACAAGAACCCAAACCAAGGAGCTGGGTGTGAGTGACGGGGGAGAAGGCCCACAAGGACCCGAGGGAAGTGTCTATAACCTTCACCCCAAGGCCTGGAGGTAAAGGTGGCGACCCCCCTGGGTCCCCTCCTCCCCTTTTCCCCCACCCCCTTCCCCCCCAGGGTGGCACTGAGCCCATCACCCAAGCACTCCAGAAGACACTGGATCCGAAAGAGGGGTGACAATTAATGGTGGTCCCTGCCCCAGAACACAAGAGGTGAGGCTGGAGGTCCGATCCACAGACGCGGAAACTGCGGCTGCTGGCATGGGAGTGACTCTCAAGTCCTTGTTTTCCGGGGCTGGGAGTAACCAGTGCCCCGTAGAGGAACAGACCACCGGGGGCAGCCCCCCACCCAGCAATCCCCCCGCCGTGAGACAGGCCTCCGTCCCTGAGGAGTTCGTTTCTCGGGTTTCATCGAACGGCTTCGTGCGGACTGTGGTCTTGTGTCTGCCTCTGTCCCTTGGTGTGACTCCCAGGTCCTCTGTCCCTTCTGGTTCCTAAAGGGAACCCCATCGTGCCGGTATGCTGCTGAGTACTTCCCCGTCCTCCTGCCGACAGACCACCGGCTGCTTCTGGAGTGGGGCTGTGGTGAGGGTTCGAGAACGCGGTGGGGCCAGTCTCCCCACAGACACGCATGCCTGCGTTCCCGCGGGGCCTCCTGGCAGTGGCTCGTCTGGGTTTCCGAGAACCTGCCCGGTGGTTTTCCGCGGTGGCCCCCCATGCAGCCTCCACCCCGGTCGCGGTGGCGAGTCCCCATCAACTTTCCTCCTGGCCAGTGTTCAGGGGGCGGGTGGGGTCCCTCCGGGTGAGCTCCGGTATCTCCTCGTGGTCTCGACTGCCCTTCTCTGAGGCCTACAGGTGCCTAAAACGTCCTTTCGCCAAGATCCCCTTTTGCCCCTACTTAATCAAGTTGCTCGTCTTTCTGGCGTAGCTTCGTACGACTTCTCAGGCTCGCTAATCTGTATTTATTTCTCCAGAGAGATGAGCAGCAGCAGCTGGATTCATTTACGTAACCAACAAGAAGTCAGACCCTGCGGGGGTGGGGGGGGGTGGGAGACGTCCCAAAGCCAACCACGGAGTCAAAAATCAATCAAAACTGACACAGCCTGGAGGTAAGCCAGTCCTTAAGAACACGAAGATATTTTTCTTTTCAAGTAATGAATTGCACCAATCAAGGGAAGTCAGTGTGCATTAAGCTATATTTTTAAATTCCTGTCCAAGTGACAGGCGTGGGGGGGGGTGGTGAAGCCCACGCATGGCAGGAGATGGTGAGTGGGGGGTGGGGAGAGAACACTCAGTGTCCCCGAGGCCCCGGCAACGCCCCCGCACGCCACCCTGGGCCCAGCAAGGATTCTCTGGGCCGGCTCCTGCCACAGGGCTGTGTGAAATGAGTGGCTAATACAATTAAAATGTAGGAATTTTTTGTTTCTTTGAAAACATAATTACTGATTTTCTTATCCTTTCTGAGCTGACCTTGGATAGCATCATCTCGCTCTCCCGCCAAGCCGGCTTGCCTGCTCCCCTCCCCACGCAGGGCACAGGCATGAGAAGGGAGCCTCGTGGGCAGGCGTGCACTGTGGGGGTCCCCACGGAGGCCTCCCTCTCCTGGACGGTCGATCCCTAAACCAAGGCCTAGAAGCAAAGTGCTCAGGAAGGCCAGCAAGATTCGGTCACAAAACCAACACCCTGGTGGCTTCGTCTCGAGTTCCGGTGTCTGTCCTCCGTGTCACCGCCACCAACACAATCCCCGCTGGAAATCAGAAGGCACTTGGGACGACGGCTAGGCCGTGCAGCCAAGTCAGAAGCAGCGCAGGGACAGCCAGCAGGAAATACCAGTCACGGAGGAAAAGCCTGAGCGCGGCTGCTTCCCCGAGCTCCAGCAGGATAAATGAGGAAGTCCGTGGCAGATTACGGAAATACACACTTTTAATTATTAAAAAGCTCTGCTATTGATCTGCTTTTTCTTCTAGAAGTAAATACCATTACGAAGACTTATAAGGGGAGCGCAGGAGTCACTCCCTGCCCCGGGCTGCCAGGAATTCCGATAAGGGGACCCCTGCGGACCCAGTTGGGACATTCATCTGGAGCCTGACACTGGTCCCTGCTGGGCTGGCCTCGGCCTCCGCCCTGCAGGCCTGTGGACCGTTGGGGGCCGGGCTGGGGGGGGGAGCCCAGCCTCTGAGAGCCAGCTGCCCCAAGCCAGGAGGCCACCGCCTTCAAGGGACGTTCGGGCATCTCGTGCACCAAGCGCAGTGCCAGGCAGATGGTGCCGCAGCGGAGGGGAGGGTGGCCGCCCGCCGGCTCCTCCAACGGGCCTCTCTCTCCTGGGAAGCGGCACCCGTGAGAATGTTCTCCGCAACCCACAAGCAAGCAAGTACTTCTCACTTCTGGGAGCAATGCTGGGTCTGTCTGTGAGGTTCCTGGTAACTGGTGGTGTTCAAATCAGGGGCCGAGGGGAGGAGAGGGAGGCAGAGAAACCTGCGTTTCTCAGACCACGTGCCGCTCCCTGACAGACGAGCCCGACGGCTAGAGCGAACCCCCAATCTGCACGCTAATGCTGTGGGCGATGTGACTGAAATGTCAGAAGCAATTTCCAATCCACTGACACTCCCAGCAAGGGTGGGCGTGAGGGTCTGGTCGCAGAACTTGCTCCCGTGCCCAACAAATGCTCCTGTAGGGAGACCTGCAGGAACCAGAGTCCCAGGAAGGGCCTCCTCTCCCGACCTGCCTCCGCTACCCAGACCAGAGTCTGCTCTGGCCTCTCCAGAAAGTTCCGAACAAATCCCTCTGGTCCAGACCAACCTGGGGATGCAGGCCTAGACCTTCCCATCCAGGAGGCTTCTCTGTAGGGAAGGGACTGCCTGCAGCGGAGAGCGGCTGAGCCCCACTCCGGGGCAGAGCCTCTGACGAAGGCCCAGGTCTGGGAGCTGGCCTTCCACCGCCGCCCACCTCCCTACCCCAACTCCCCAGCTTCAGGCCTCATTCATCACAGCCTTTGCGGAGGACAAGCGGAGCACCCCCCAGGGCAGTAAACTGAATGAGTTCGCAGTCTTCACACTGCGGGAGCACCACAGATTTCTTTTCCAAACAGGTATTTACTCTCGCAAAGGACATCTGCAGTGGGCCACGGGGTGCAGCCAGAGAGCAGGGCAAAAAGTGGGGGTCACAGGCACTGCCCAGTTGTCCTGTGGCTTCCCAGGAAGTCTGTGGGAGCTGTCCCTCCAGTGCAATCCCAGCCCCGTAGGACCCTGCAGGGCAGGCGGCCAGCAGCCGCACTGGGCAGGGGACTGAGAGTGGGAGGGGGTGGGAGTTACGTAAGGCAAGACCCCACCCGACTCTCCCCTCTTCCATCCTCACCCCCCACCACAGCAGAGCTGAAGGCTGACTGCCCAGCCAACGTGCCCCTCCCTGGCTTGCCAGTGTTCTTCTAGAACCTTCTATGGGCTTAAGAAGCCAGTCTCCCGGGACATGGGTGGTCCCTTCAGCCGGGGCCCTGGCTACCCCTACGTACCCGGCTGAACGGGATGCCGTACTTCTTGAGGATGATGGGCGAGATGAGGGTCATCTTGTGCCGCAGGAAAGCATCACAGCCCTGGGAGCTCCCGGGAAAGAACCCTGGAGCAGAAAAGACGGGCATCAGTCGGGCGGGCGCAGCTGAGCAGGCCTACTGTGGGCAGCGTTCGCCTCCCATCAGGCACGGAGCACGGAGCCATGTAGCCCCCAGGGAACAAAGCGCACAGGAGCCTGCCCAAAGCCGTGTGCTCGGCTGGCGGCAGCGACGGCAGCCCTTGGGCCTCCGGTGAGTGAGCCCAGAGCCAGGAGGGGCCGTGGCCATCTGTGCAACCGAGTGTGCCCCCAAGTCACAGATGGGGTGTGGGCCAGGGCACAGCTGCACAGGCCACCCCCTCTGAGCACCCCACACACAGCACCCGCCGCACTGCACGTGCCCAGTCGCTCAGCCAACGTAATGGTGCAGCAGGGGGAGACAGGACACCGAGACGGACGCTCTCAACCTGGGAAGCCATGGGCAATGCTCCCCACACAGCCATGGCTGCAACCAAGAGGATGAGAAGCCTCCTGTGCGGGCCCCAGAGAGGGAGACTCCGGCTTTCGGCTGACCCTCCGAGGCCCGCGGCGCGGCGGGAAAGGAGCAGAGCAGCCTGACCCCGGCTGACCGTCTGCGACACATGAGATGCGAGTTCACATCCGGGTATGCTTTCTGTCTCACAGGGCAGACCACACAGCTCGTTTAAATCAAGGTTCGTGAACGTACAGAAGTCAGACCATCGGCTCTATCTGCTCAGAAACGGTGTCTGGCTAACGTAGTTCAGGACCTTTCCCAGTCACTTCCTGGCTAAAGCTCCCAACAACGATGTGTAGGTCTCAAGGTTAAAGAAAAGCCCCGCGATTCCACGCAGAGGTGCTGGGCCCCTCACCCGAACCATCACTGAGAGGCAGCCAGGGAGGGCTCCCTTCAGGACCGGGCCCTGGACACAGCCCGCCCGGGGACCCTCCCGGGAGCCGACCCAGACCACGGGCCCCCAGCCTCCGGGCCAGAGCACACCCCTGGAGGCTGGCCAGCTAGAGAGGGCACGTTTGCACGTGTGCATGTGCTGTGTGTGAGCACAGGGCCCTGCCCACACGCCCGCTGGGGGAGGGGGTGGGGGTCGGGAGACCCGCCAGCAAGGACACGACTGTGACTGCGAGGATCTAGAAAGTGCAAGGGATTACTGAATCCAGCAACTTTTCTTGGTGCTAAAAGCGTTTCAATTAGAGTTATGGCCCCTGCCTCCCGGCCCGCGGCCTCTCTGCAGTCCCTCTTTTTAATGCACAGTTTAAGTGGCTCTCATTAAAGCTCTAATAAAGGCGCACATTTTAAGTGATTAGCACCAATCGCGCGCCGACACATTAACGCTCTCTCCGTGGGCTCCGCAACTCTCCCCGCGAGCCCATTTGGAGCTTGGCTATTCATTTTCCATACTCATTGCAAACTCATTCCATCCATCTCAATAATGGAGTCTGTGACGCATGCCCCCCAAAAAGTTTGGAAGGGACACAGAGGAGGGCAGTGACTCACTTGCCCTAGAACCTCTCCCATCCTCCCTCTGAGGAGGGGCGCAGGGGAAGCAGGAGGCCAGCCCTCCCGCCAGCACCACAGCTCCCCACCCTCCCCCAGGGCAGACAGCCTCGGCCCCCCTGCCAAGGACTGACTTCAAGAGTCCACGCTGGTCACAAACAGCGATGGGGAGGCCCAGCCCCTGGCTCGTCCTCTCCCAACCCCGGCACTGAGCACCCTGCTCGTGCCCAGAAAGCAAACCAGGCCAGACCCAGGGGCAGCAGGGCCTCGGCTGCAGGAAGGATGTGGGGAGCAAGCCAAGCTCCAGGGAGAGCGGCCACGGCCCTGAAGGACCTCAGTTCTAGCTTTTCTAGGCGACACTCGGTCGTCCAAACGCAACACTTTTCTTTTCTAGTAGAAAAGGCACAGAGTGGAAGAACACGCTAGGTGTGGCTAGCTGCAAAATCCAGGGGGACGCTAAAAGCAGAGAAGCAAGCAAAGGGGGGTGACGCCAGCCCTGTGGTCACCAGAGGGCACCCACATAGACCACTCCATGGCACTTTCTTCCGTGGCTGTGGTGGAGTGGGAAGCTCAACAGTGGCCCCCCCCCAAAGATGGCCGTGTCCTGCTCCCCAGAACCTGGGACTATGTTCCCTTCCATGAGGCAGGCGGTCCGCAGATGGGATTAAGTGCAGGACCCTGAGATGCGGGTCCCAGCGTCACCACAGGGTCTCCATGGAAGTGAGGCAGGGGAGGCCATGTGACCACGGGACTGGGCCACAGGCTAGAGCCGGTGCCTCTGGAGGGAACAGGTCAAGAAGCCTGAACTAGAGCCTCGGGAGAAGCCAGCCCAGCCCACACTGGGTTCAGTGGGGCCCCTGACCTCCGGACACGAGGAATGAGCCTGGGGGTTAACCTGGGCTCTTTCAGAGCAATTTCGGGTTCACAGCAAGACGGGGAAACTTGTGCCATTTGGAGCCTCTGACTGGTGATTTGGGACAACAGCAACAGGAAAAGAAAACGATGGGGAAAAATACTTTTCAACTTGTATCTCAAAATTGATATTTGTATTCTAAATTTGTATTTTAAAAAATACATCGGGAAAACATTTTAATTTGGTTTTTACTTTAGATCTTAATAAATAAGAGAAATGGCTCTTGGCTAGGACTGTAAGTGGCATTTCTACAGTGAGAAGCATGGTCCTGATATGGGGGTTCAGCCCTGCCTGTGAAGACAGAGCCCGGGTTTCCCACATGACAACACCGCCGGCCTCGAGGCTGGGCGAGCCGGGCCTGGGGCTCTGGCCCCACTCTCTGACAAGCTTCCCTCTGTCCTCGTCCTCGGAGAATCAGTGTGTAGCAGGCGTCTGGTGAACAGATGGGCAACTAGCATAGGAGCCCCATTTTCCAGAAAGCGCCATCATTTCCATCTCCAAAGTCAACACCGGCAGGGGAAGAGCACAGTGGGCATTCCTTGGGGGAGGCATGAGGAAGGGACAAAGGACAGTGGCAGGTCGTTAGGGAGACTGCGCCAACGCTGAGTGATGGCTTCTAGATTTCGTGGCTGCCAGCAGGGAGGGGTCAGGCTGCCTGCCACTGCCACCCAGAGGGTCAGAGTGATCAGATGGCCCCTGCGCTGTCCTGGCAGCTCCCGGACATCAGGGCCAGATCCCCAACTGCCCCGCCTGCCTGGGGGGCTTCTGGCCAATGAGAGCCAGACTCTTGGGGCCAGCAGGGTCTCTTCACATAGCCCCAGGCACTTACAGCCACCTGCCGTCAGAACAGAGCAATGCAGGAACCCCACCAGTCCCTCTGTCAGGATGGTTGGGGGCCTCAGCATCACCCAGTAGGGTGTCTGGCTTGTCTCCAAGGATTCCATGACCTGAGGGCCTGCCTTTACCCCAAGTGGTCACTGCCCCCTCTGCAGACACAGCCCGGGACCCTCTCTAACAAATTCTGTCAGCCCAAGAAGCCCCCAAGGGGCTGGTCTGGAGGGGCCATCTGCGGAGGAGCCCGGGAGCAGGCGCACGCGCACGAGCAGCCCGCCGGTCACCGCGCAGCTGCGGGGCATGAGCGAGGGGCCCTGCACCAGACTGCTGCTTTTCCAGACCAAACACAGACTGTAAGGCCTAGAGGAGGCTGTGACACAGTGCCAGGCGCCGGGGGCGAGACAGAAAAACGCGGGCCCCCCCCCCCCCCCCCCCGCCCGGCCTGCTGGAGCCCACAGTCACACCTGGCAGCGCCGTGCTCACAACCGGGAAGAAAAAGAGTTTAAAGCAATGGCCTCCTGTGCGTCATTCACGAGGTGACCAGCCCCATAGCGGGGGCGGGGGGGGGGGGTAGATCTGATGATGAGTGGGACAGGAAATGGAAAATCACAGTGACGGCTTCCAGCACCCACCACACCCAGAGATGGAAACTCGCACAGAGAGGGTGACCCAGGAGCATGGGGCTGCCACCCCCTGCCCCCACCCCTGCCCGCCCGGGGCCCAGCTCCCCACCCGCCCGGGGGCGCAGACACATACCGATGGCCAGCCGCTCCAGGCGCTTGCCGTGCTCCGGCGGGATGGCGTACCTGCGAGAGAAGGGAGGCCCGTCAGACGCGACGGCACATGGGGCCGCCGCACATCCGAGGGGCCCCGGGGTGGCGGCCACAGCCTCAGAGCAGAACTGAACCACGGCCGCCATGGGTGCTGTGAGAAGGGGCGAAGGGCAGCGGGAGGGTGGCAGGGCAGGAACCCACACAGCCAGCCACAGTCCGCGGCCTCCCTGATGGCCTCCCTGGACACCAGGCTGGACATACTCCCCGTTCAGCAGCGCTAAAGCTCTATGAGGCTTAAAAAGGCAAACCTAAAAAAGCGAGCCCAGGATCAGAGCTGCAGGGGAGGGGCTGGAGGGCCCCCACGCCCCCCCACCCCCTGCACCCCTCGGCAGTCTCCTTGCCTCCCACGCCCCCAGCCCCAGGAGCCTCCCAGGAAGAAGCCTCAGGAGCGAGACACACTTCATTTGTCGCCACTCCCCACGGTTTATTTGTACACATTTTACGTCTGAAAGATTCCTGAGGCCCCGTCAGAAGTAAGAAAGATGGAAGGTGGACGTTTGCAAACAGATGAAGCCAGAGGGACACCCCGCTGATGGCTGTGTATGGAAGCTGGCGTGCCGGGATGGCGGGGACTCTCTCCCGGAGGGGACAGCCTGGGCAGGCAGGGCCGAGCAGCCCCACCCCAGCTGATACGCCATCCCGGACTTGGAGGAAGACGGGCAGAACCGGGGTGTGGGTCCTTAACGCTGAGCGCAGGCGTCTCTCTGTCCCAAAGAGGAAGGGACACAGTAAAGACTCCATCTCCACAGCTACTGCGGCACCCCAAGCCCCATCGGGGAGAAACTCCAGGGCCACACTTCTCGCCCAGGGGGGATCCTGCCCCCATGGGACTCAGGGCTGTGTCTGAGGACATCTGTGATTGTCATAACCACAGGACAAAGTGCTTCCAGGGCAGAGGGGGTGGGTCGGGGTGCTGCTCAGCCCCCACAGCGCCCGGGGACAGCCCGCAGACGACCCACCCCACGTCCACGGAGCCGAGGGGAGAGACCCTGCGTCAGCACACCCAACATTCTAGAGCAAGTCCGATGTGGGGGCGCGTGGCACAGCACACCCTCCATCCTCCCTCTCGGTGCGGGAGGCAGGATGGGAAGAGCCGGGGACCGGGAAGCCGGCCCAGACTCTGCAGCTGGCTCAGTCCATTCCAATCAAGAGGGTGATTAGTGCTTTTTAATAAAATAAAAGGGGGCAGGGGCAGGAGATAAGGCAGTCTCTAATCTACCAGGATAAAAATAATTAATTTCTGGGCACACCGCAGGGCCCTGGAGGAGACAACCCAACACCTTCGATTCTGTGCTCACCGGAGAATTTTCCACTGTCTGAACAAAGACGAGGTGACTCTTCTTTAAACAGCCTTTTATCACTGACGTAAGGATGATAAAAGTTAATCCCAATCCCAAGCACCTTTGTGGGATTAACGTCCCCCCAAACAAGGAAATGAAACATTCCGGTCCTTGTGGGAAGATGCCAGAGGACGGGAGAAACTAATTTACGGCTCCAAGGCTGTGATGATTAATGCAATATCCCCGGTCTACAATGCTGCTTTCACTTAATTACCGCCTGTAATTGGGAGTTGTAAAGATAAGATTAATTGAATCTGGTGGATGTTAAAAGTTTAATACGTCGGAGCGTGGCTCCTCTGTTATCAGAAAGCACAGGCCGCTGGACGCCGGGCCAGGCGCTCAGAAGAGCGGCCCCTGGAGGGTTACAAAGGATGGCTGGACGCAAAGCCAACAGCCACAGGGACTTCTGGGCTCCCACAGCCGAGGGAAAGCTGCCTTCCCGCCACGTGGAACAACCCAGAGACAGCCTCAGGGTGCCGAGAAGCCCCAGCACCGGCAACATGCCCCCAGCCCACACCCCGGGGCCTCGACAAGATGCAAGTCTCAGATCTCAGGGGAAGGCGAGCGGAACCAGAGCACGGGCTCTCCCGACACACAACGCTGAGCGAGCCCAGGCCGCCTGCCCAAAGGAGGGGGTCAGTGAAGGCTCCCTCTACGGCTCCTTCCAAAGGCTTCGAGAAACTCCAGCCCTGGGGGCTATAGGTTCCCACGGAGCCCTCTCTCCACGCCACGGCCCTTGGGGCGCCCTGGGAGGCCCCGCACAGTGGGGGCCCAGGTGAGCCTCCCAACGGGGCTGGACATCCGCCCCTGGAGAAAAGTCCCCCCCAGGCCCCATGGGACCCCTACAGCAGAGCCATGTCTGCCTGGTCACAGCCCCATCTTGTGTCCCACCACGGGCGGAGACGTTCCTGACTCTCGGGTCCGGCTCTGGGGGAAAGAAGGATGCGCAGGGCCATGTGGGTGGAGCCTGTCTGCTCGCCAGCCCCCGAGGCGGGAGCATCTGGCCATTAGCGAGCGAGTTCTTGGGAACATAAAACAGAGTCGGTTTTATTGGTCACCAACGTGGGGGCAATTTATCTCCCTCCCCAGGAACTCTGTCCCCATCACAAGGTTAAATATCACGGCCAAACTCACTCCATTCGGCTGGCCGGTGCGCCCCTCTGGACATGCAGCCGCAGTCGCCGGTGGCAAAGCGCTCCTGCACAGTGTCCTCGGCCGGCCAGTCTCCCCAGATCTCTGGTCCAGTCCATTCTGGCGGCCAGAAGGCAGCTGCCCCGGCCCCTCTCCCCTCCCACTCAGCCCCAGAGCCCTCTCAGAACCTCCCTCCCCTGGTTCTCCCCATCCCTCTCTCAGCCAGTGTCAGGAAACCCCTCTGCCAAGGCTAGCCATCAGCCCTGATGCTGTCCCCTTGGTCCAATAGCCCGAGGCCTCCCCCAGGGCCAGCCACGTCCCAGCCTGAGTTGGCACCAGACAGCTCCTCCCCCAGGCCCGGGCTGCCCCTGGCTGGCCCTCACTTCAGGACAGCCCGAAGGGCCCAGAGGGTCTGCGGCCCAGCACCCAAGTCACGGTGGAACGATCTGGAGAAGCTGGATAAGGACGTGGGCAGAACGATCTCCAGAATGCGGTGAGCGTGAGAGGGCGAGCAAGCCGGAGGCTTCCGAGAGCAGAACCAGAAATGGGGAGTGCAGGGGCGGGTGGGGAGGGGCAGGGAAGGCCGCAAGAGGAACGGGCACCCGTGAGGGCCGCTCAGACCCCTTGCTTGTGACTGTCTGAGGGAAGCATCGGCTACGATCAGACACACGGTGCGTCCTGGTCCTGAGGTCAGCCAGGCAGGAGTCTGGAACGTTCCCCACAGTGTCCCTTTGGGGTCTTTATCTCTGTATTTCACCAGCCCTGCCCCTCGGCACATTCTCTCTGCTTCAGAACACTCCACACTAAATACACCCCGGCAACAGTAAACCAGAAAGTTCCAGAAAAGTTGGCACTGTTGGAACGGTAGCCCTGGCCACCTCCAGGTGACCCTGCAGGGCTGCAGCTGGACCCGACAAGCTCCATAACCCCGGGTTTAATGCTGTGGAATTGCCCAGAAGGCCGGGAGAGCCAGATTCAGGCGTCATTTGCCAGAAGCCCTTTTCGGAAAGGCAGTTGTCTGCAAGCGTCGGGGGTCTCAGGGAGAAAATAAAAACAGTTTTAGATTAGGAATAAGGTACACGGAGGCAACGGGAGAGACCAGAGCCCCGGGCACCGGGCCCCTCAGGTGAGGACGTGCGGCACCCCGTCGTTCAAAGACCACCACTGTCCAGCCATTTCACAGTTCAAAGGACCGGCCAACCGGCAGGAACATGCGAGCTGCCAGACCCACACTCAGGCCCCGAGCTCCTGAAGGAAGCGACACCCAGGTCTGGGGAGGGACCAGAGGCACTGCTCCAGGACGGCGGGCATCCCCCCAGCCTTCCCTGCTCCCTCCTTTACACTTCGAGGCACTCGCAGGGCATGCGTTCCCCCCCCCTTCATCACGGCTGCCCCAAGAAGGCAAAGCTGAAACCCTCAGACGTGCCGCAAGGCCTGGGTCCAGAGCAGTGCGCGATAACACCCCGGGCCCTGCGGCCTGACACATGGCAGGGGCTGACCTGTCTATGAGTGCAGCCTGGAGGCCGGGGAGCTGTGCCATCCGGCCGTCCCTGAGCTACACATCTTAACACTGACGCCAGAGGGCACGCGGTCTCACCAGCCCTGCGGAGGCCAGGCCTGAGTCTAAGCTGGTGGCAGACCCACCTTGGGGACACCGCGTGGCCCCAGAAGAAATGCACGTGTCCCAACAGACGCGGCGGGCCTGATGAAGACACTCCAGGGCTGGTGGCAACCAGGCGGCTGGGGGGCTGGACAGGGCTGGGCGACTAAAAGGAGAGGCGTCCTCTGCGGCCAAGGGACAGGCCGCTTCCATTTCACTGACCCACAGGCCCGGGAAAGTCTTCCTGTCCGCCGGGAAGGATGCTATTAATAGTGTCATTTTCTTGGTGTTTTGTTTATTCCCCTGGAATGGCTTGATGGATGTGAATAATTATCAGACTATAAAAGCCAGCAAATGTGCTATTTTCTATCGCTCTAAATCATCAAACAAATAAAGTGTGAAACAGCATTTTTGAATATAATTTTCCCCTCTAATGGCTTAGAATTATTATCAAGAACAATGAAAATAAATAAGCAAATGCCTTCTGAGTTAAAAATTAAATGAGTGTGTCACGAAGAGGAACACAGACCATCTTGGAGAGCAGGGACCTGCTCTGGAGCCATTAGTTATGAAGACGAGAGCAGCAGGGCTCTGGGCCGTGCAGGACCCCTCCAGCCAGAGGCACGAGTGCCCGCGGCCACCTGGCCGGTGTCGGGGGGGAACAGGATGTCTTGGATGAGGGCAATGGGGTACCCTGTGAGCCCAGCTGACCCCTGACAGCCGCCCAGGACCCTGCATGTCATTGCCCGACACAACCCCCATGGGGACAGCCACACGGAATGGCAGAAAGGCTGCTGGGGGGCCGGCCTCTGCCTCGCCTCTCCTGGGCCACAGACTGGCGACGCCAGAGGGACTGCTGACTCTCAGAGCAGCATGGACACCCGCACTCATGGGACAAAGGA